TTTGAGTGTCACTAAATGAATAAACCTCCGGATTTCTTATCTTTATATAATCTAATAATTTTTTGGATAAGATTTCAAGTGACAAGTGTCGCTGAAATGAGTAACTCTTCAGATTTCTTATCTTTATGAAATTAAATGTAATATAATTAAATATTTAAAAGAACTTATGAAAACACTTACTTTGTCTTAAAGATTGGCTCCGCTTTCATGTCTCCTTTCGGCCCTTATCACGGCTTGATGCCATTTATTCAAACTTGGTTGGAGATGTTTTTTTCCATCTTGAAGAACAACTCTCGTGGTTTCGGGGATTCGGTGGAGTGGTGTTTTCGTAGAACTCATAGTACTTTTTGGACGTACAAGTTCAAATACCTTCACTTGTTTGAGAACTACCATTGACACTATCTTTCGAGACCCATCTATAAGCCCTGCAAAGAGCTTCATCTTCTTTTCGAGTCCAAGCCCTTCCTTTGATTGAAGATGTGGCCATTTGAAAATTGTTGAAAAAATTAAAGGAAAGATTATTGGAAGAGGTAAGAGAATAGAATGTGAATAATTGAAATAAAATGAGGTAAGATGGTATGGAATGGTGAAAAGGATTTGGGAAATGGTGTAGGAATGACTTAGGTATTTATAGGAAAAAAAAATTCATCTAAAAAAAAAAAAATCAAATTCCAACGGCAACTTGACGTTAGCATGATGTCAACTAATCGTTGCTAGCTGGCGTCATGTTGACGCCAGGTAGCAGTTGCAAGTACGCTGGGCTGCTGCATCGGGCTGGCTGATTCATTTTGGCCAGCCTGTTGTCTAATTTTTAGCTGGGTGGGGCCCACAAACCCTTTGGCTTAGCTCTCTGTTGGAGACAATTTTCGTGTCAAAACGAGCTATATTTTGGCCTATGGGCATTTGGCTGGGTCGGTTGGAAATGGCTATAAGGCTACATGCCAAAATCCAGCTTGAAATGCTCCAAAACCCAACTCCAATGGAGAGCTGGGCCAAAGAAAAAGGGGACCCACCATGCCAAGCTTTAGCCCTTTGGCCATCGGGCTGGGCATTCTTAGCCAGTCGAGTAGCCTGTTTGAGGGGCCCTTTTTTTTTTTTAAAGCCAAAATTTAAAAAAAAAAAAAATCTTATTTTTTCCCAAATTAATACTAAGTCATTTCTACACTATTTCTCATATCATGTTCATAAACACCCCTCCTTTTACCTCTTCCAATCTAAATTTAATCTTTTCAATATTTTTTTCAAATGGTCACATATTTAACCAAAGGATAAGAAATCTGGAGGCTTATTCATTTAGCGACAAGTGACACTCAAAATATGTTCAAACCTTATTTTAATATGATAGTTTAATTCAATTAACCAAAAAATTAAAGAACAAACTTAAAATAATAAATTGTTGAGGGGGCTAAAAAATTAGCCCCCTTAGGTTGGATATGGTATATAAATATGGCATGACATTGTTCATTAAAAAATAATTTCTTACAAGGCTATAATCTTGACGAGGGCTAAACATAGCCCCTTCGGTTGGACGGCCTTAGGTAGCTTAACTGTGTATGTGTAAGGTTTATCTCATTTGTTTGAAATGTGTATTTGTAATTAACTCATAAATTGATCAATAAAAAAAAAGCTTTAAAGAAAATGGCTTCTCCAAACCTTTTTTTTTAACCAAAACCAACCTAATAATTTTATTTAATAAAAATGACACAAAGTTTAATGAAAAATTGACACACCCCGATCGAGATCAAGGCATGTTGGTCGTCACGTGAGAGTGACGTAGCCATGTGCACAGTGCGGAAGCAATAATGATAGGAAATATACGAATAATTAAAAACCGAATCAGTAGAGTGCACTACTAAACAGGAAGTGATAAGAGTTAGTTACAAAAGTAAACACTCCTAATCAGAGCATAATAAGTCTAGGTGCAGTTCAATAGGACAAGTACTAGTTATACAGTACCAAGAATGTCCTACTATTATTTAGATAGGTCAGAATTGGCGACGTCCTTAACCCACCAACAGCAAGCTTACTTAAAATCTAGAGGGACGCAAAACAGAAAACGTGAGTGGGCAAAAACAAATGTTTTACAAAACCATTTCATTTATCAACATAACTAACCCCTTGCTGTAAAACATGTATAATTTTTCCCAGAATGAAGATATAAGTATATATATAATCAGATATGAAAATATATCAACTCAATTCATACTTCACATAATCATATTTATATGTATGTCATGCCAAGATATAACAGAGTAAGCAATTCTAGTCAGAATAATTTCATAGAAATATAACATGTTAGCTAGAACCCCTGTGGTAGTCTGTACGGCTGAAATCATAGCTTAAAAGTCACTCTAGCCGGAGTCACTACAATGACCTATACAGCAACATACTGCACAAGAGTCAGAACCAAATGAAAAGGTCTATACGACAATAATGGGTGTAATACAATCATGCTTAATAATACTCTCACATAATAGCTGGGCGATAAATCGCTAGTCACCTACGAGTCGGAACCATAAATAAGGTCTGTACGACAAGACTGTGCACCTAAATTGGATTTAATATGAGCATATGGTGCGGGAGGTGACATAATAAACAGGCTTGTGCCATATCTATGGCTAAATCACAATCACCCTAAGTGAAGTTTTATGGCTCAACATTATTCAATCACATATCGCATCATCGATGATTTAAATAACCAAACACAACTTACCTGAGCTTACCTGAGCGTCCACAGCACCACATTTACATATATAAAACATCACATACCAATTCATACTTGAATTATAAACTTATATGCATGGCATTTATGGCATACTATCATTTAAACACATATTTCTGGGAAAATATCAAGTATATAATATATACTAAAAACCAAAAGTCCACTCACTGGTAAGTTAAAGGGTCGTAGCCTCGAGTCGCCCTTGGATACACTCATCCTCGGGATAAGTTTCACCTATATGCGAATTAACTATAAAAACGTTATTTTAAAGCACATAGACAAAACTAGCTAATAACTTCTCATACAATGCTCAAAATGGGTATATGAATATACCACAGTGACCTACACAACCTCAGGATCATCCCCAAATTTTCAGATTAATTTTTGGACCCTTCACGCCCCGCCACGCGCCGCCACGCGCAGGGAATCCGTCAGGATTCCCTAATTGTCGTTAGGAATATTCCCCGGAATATTCCGTTAAAACCCAATGGTAACCGTCCAAACTAACTGACGGCGTCGAAATATTCCGTCGGACTTGATGGAATATTCCGTCGTCTTCTACCTCAGAACTCTGGCAATCGTTACCGTCGCCGGAAACTGGGAAAAACTTCTAACCATTTATTCTCACTCATTTTTCAACAATTTTCTTCGAAATTTGAACCAAATGAAAGCTTAGAGTGAGAAGAATGGCGTTATACCTATTTGAAGCTTCAAATCTCACGAAATCACGTCGGAGCAAGCTAGAAAATTCGATGACCTCTGCAACTCTTCGTATCTAGGCTTCCGGACGTCCAAATTCTTCAAATGAACTACCCCAAGCCTCTTTGGGACCTCCAAAAGCTCTTCGTGTTCTTAAAATTCCCCGAAACATAAGGTTTTACGTGTGCATGAACAATGCACAAATCGAAGGTTAAGTTTCATGGGGTTTTCGAAGGTTTCAGGTTCTAAAACTTGTACCAATGGATTCCTGAGGTCACAAGGGACACGAAAATACTTACCTTGGTTTCAATCTGCAAGATTTGAGGTGGTTTCTAGGTTGTCCGTGCGAAAATGCCGAGAGGGAGAGAGAGAGAGAGTCTGAGAGATAGAGAGAGTACGGGAGAGAGAAGGTAGGTGGGTATGTGTGGTCCAAAAGGCACCAATCACAACTAAGAGAACACTTAGTTCTAATTGGGTCCAATAATAGAGGAATATAGCTAATTGGTCCACAATTTTAAGTCTAAACCACAACATCCCATAATAATTCTCAACGTCCAAGGGTATTTAGGTAATTTCACGCTGTCGATAAATAAATAACACACATCTCCGGGACGGGCTGTGACAAAAATGGTTTCTCCAAATTTTTTCTTAACCAAAAGCACCCTAATAATTTTATTTAATTGCATAACACAAATTACGTACATCAAACCCTAGATATTAAAACCCATGGTTTGGAAGCGCAACCCTTCTATTTTTTCTTTCAACCCTTGCCCTTAATGAGCGTTATCCCAAATCCATCAAACTACTATGACTATTTATAGAAATGAATATTGCCACTATTTCTAGAACTGAACATTGCCACTATTTTTAGAATTAAACATTGCTATTGCAATTATTTCTAGAACTGAACATTGTCACTATTTTTAGAACTGAACACTGCAACAATTTCTAGAACTGAACACTGCAACAATTTCTAGAACTAAACACTGCCACTATTCTAAAACTGAATACTGCCACTATTTCTAGAACTAAATACCATCACTACAATTATTTCTAGAACTGAATTTGCCACAATTTCTAGAACTGAACACTGCACTGCTACTATTTCAAAAACTAAACATTACCCTATTTCTTAAACCAAATATGAAAGATCAATTTCGAGGAAGCACTTACATGGAAAGGAAGCCCATGAGGAGAGGATTAAACTTCTCATTTGAGTTGAGGACAAGTTCCGTCATGTTTGAAAAAGAAAATTGGCAAAAATCGTGAAGAACGTCACATTTAGAGAACTTGATCTCCCTGGACGTTGAGTTTTTCTTAAAAAGACTCATAAACTGCAAGGACTTGTAACTTATTTTGTTAAAAAAATCAACCCATACACCTTAAGCAAACCAAACAAAATTAATAATAAATTGTAAATGTGAGTTTTGCCGATTGACCGTAAACAATGTGCTTGTCCTTGGACACCCAAGTTAAAATATGCCCCATAATTTATCCTATTCGTTAGGTTTAGTGGGCCTAATTTCGTACTGGGCTTCCCATTTCCTTCCACATGTCCCTGAAAAACATACGCAACGCGTCCGGAGCAACTTCGCTTCAAAGCAAAGACTAACTCTGTTTTCTTCACCAACCAAAAGCCACAAGAACCGAGCGAAGCTCGCTTCCCGCGACCAGATGCTCCATTTCTTCCTCGCAGTCCTTCACGGTTAGAGATGATGGGTCGCCGTGTCGGGTCAGCTTATGTTGTTCTTTATGTTCTTGTTTGTCAACTGTTCGTGTCGAATTTGGGTGACTATGTGTCGGGCTCGGAGTCGGGCGAGTACGCGTCGGCAATAGGAGACCCGGGAATGAGGAACCCAAATGTGAGAGTTGCGTTGGAAGCTTGGAACTTCTGCAATGAAGTTGGAAGTGAAGCGCCCGGCATGGGCAGCCCCAGGCTCGCTGATTGTGCTGATATCCATTGTCCCACTGTTACTACTACTGGTACGTGAATTATCTTCTTTAGCTAGTTGATTAGAGTTTAATAATTGTCTTTGCTTTTGAAACACTGTTCTGTTTCGGCATTTAATATCCTTGGTTTAGATTAATTTAGTGAGCGACTTTAAGAAAAGATATTGAGTACCTGAAGATAACGGAAGACTTGGTGCAAAACTGAGGGCAGTCCCGTTCTAGGATTCATACAGCCGACCCCACTTAGTGGAACATGGCTTGGTTGTTGTTGTTATTGTTGTAGTTTGGATTAATTTAGTGTAGACTTTGGCTCCGGTGAAAAAGAATGGGAATTCAAATGTCCGTTTTATAGTTCAATTTTTTCTGTATTGTTTTGGTTCTTGATGATGCAAATATTAGGGCTTTATATTTCAACTATATATGTTTATGCTCCTGCTCGTTTTTCTTGCATTTGGAAATGTTTTGATGCTAATCATAACTTGGTTCCTTATTTGGGAATTTGGCTTGCTTGTTTGAGCATCAACTTCACTCACTCAGCTACCTGAACTTGGATGTAGAACGATAGCGCAATACATTGTTGCTCTTTCCATAGTTTCGTGTCGCTATCTATGTACCACCGTGTTTAGGAATAACAGTAATTTAGATTGGCAGTACACTGTTTGGGATTTGTCTTCCACATAGAATTTACTTTCTAATTGATCCTTTTTGGTTTTATATATATTTTCCATTATCAGAACCTATGGATCGGACCCCTCATGATGTGGAGAGTAAGTGTGTACTTCATCACAGAGTTAATGAATCAGACAACAACTTAAGGGCTGGCGATATGTTTCCCTTAAGGGATTTTAAGTCATACACAGACCCTGACTTGTATGCAACGGAAAAGGAACTGTATCTTGCTTCTTTATGCGAGGTTCATAATTCATCGGATCCATGGCAGTTTTGGATGGTCATGCTTAAGAATGGAAATTTTGACAAGAACACTACTCTTTGTCCTGAAAATGGCAAGCACTTAAGCAAAATTGTAACAGATAGGAACTTTCCATGTTTCGGTGAAGGTTGCATGAACCAGCCACTCGTGTACCATAACTACTCAAGATTGGTTTCTGACGGTTACCAAAAATTGTCTGTGACTGGAGGATTTTATGGAACGTATGATCTTGATGCTGATTTGACCAAAGGTATAGGAAAGAACTCCTACTTTTCGGTCTCCTGGCAGAAAAACTTGAGCACAGGAAGTTGGATTTTCTCGCAGAGGTTGACAACATCTTCAAAGTATCCCTGGCTTATGTTGTATCTGCGTGCAGATGCAACAAAAGGATATAATGGTGGTTACCACTACGATGGTCGTGGCGTCATGAGAAAGGTTTGATTACTCAGCTTTAGTTCTTTCTTACTGGCTTAAAGTTTGACATTCCTATTCATGCTAAGAACGCACGCCTTCACTGAACGTAGGATGAGTTTAGTTGAACACTTCAGGTCCAATATGGTGTATGCATTTGGATATTTATGATACCAGCTCTTTGTATTTCTATTCTCATGCATCAACCTTTCAAAGTTTGAAGTGACTCCACAGAAGCACTTCATTGTGATTTTCTTTGTTTTTGCAGCTGCCAGTGTCTCCACATTTTAAAGTACGATTAACACTTGATGTTAAACGTGGAGGGGGGCGAAACAGTCAGTTTTATATGCCTGATATAGGAAGCTGTTGGAAGAATAATGGAAAACCATGTGATGGTAATGTTCTGACAGATGTAACTAGATATAGTGAAATGATAATAAATCCAGAAACTACAAGCTGGTGTCGGCCAGATAACCTTGTCTCCTGCCCGCCTTACCATGTTACTGTTAGCGGTGACATTATATACAGAAATGAAACATCTCGGTTTCCATATTCTGCTTACCATCTCTACTGCGTTCCTGGGAATGCTGAATATCTGGAGAAACCATATGATATATGTGACCCATATAGCAATCCACAAGCACAGGAATTGGTGCAAATTCTTCCGCATCCGGAATGGGCTGTACATGGCTATCCTGGAAAGAAAGGAAATGGATGGGTTGGCGACCCCAGGACATGGGAGCTTGATGTGGGTGCCCTCTCTAGCCGGTTGTACTTCTACCAGGTATAATTTTGTATTTGCTCAAAACGTTCCTTGAGAGTTCATTTCTTTAATCATCTAATGGCGTGTTTACGTGTCCGTAATCGGAATCAAAAGTCGGAGTGTGATTCCGATTACGGGTTGTTCTTGTGTTTACTAAAATTTGGAGGAATCAAAATGAGTGGGGCCCACACGAAAAATGGAATTGGATTCCTGTTTTTGGAATAATTGTATTCCGGAGGTGGGAGGTGTCATTTGAATTCCGGGAGACGAGGAATCCGGAATACAACTTTTCTACCTATTATAACCCCAACTAATTCCTAAAACTCCAATCTGCCAGTGAAACCAACAAGCCCAGACCTCTCCGCCTGCCTCCCTTTCACCTCCCTCTGCATTTACACCCCAATCAACCAATCCGAACTGTCTTCAGATATCGTAAAGCTGGTTCTTCTATAGTTGTGGCGTCGTGGTCGTGTGGGGATGGAGGAGCGGGAGACAGACGGAGCCGCAGGAAATGATAATGAAGGATGCACAAAAAATAAAATGTAGGGGATGGAGGGAGAGGGTGGTGGCGATGGCGGTGCCGGCTGGGGAGGACTGACGAATGATACTGGGAGAAGAGTAAAAGACGTGAAGGTTTGAAAAGGTCGAAAAATTGGGCTGCTTGGGAAGTTATGGGGGGTGGGTATAAAAACTAGGTTTAAAAAGGGTTAACAATTTAGTTTATAAAGATCAGAGGGGAAATTCAATTATTTATGGGTTAATGTTGTTATGAAAATTCAATTATTTATGGGGAAATTCAATTATTTATGGGTTAATGTTTAAGCTCTGCAAATTTCTCCGTTTTGATCAATGGAAGGCCAAGGGGAAAATTTCAAGCTTCAAGAGGTTTGAGACAAGGCGATCCACTGTCACCATTTCTTTTCACCTTAGTAGTAGATGTTTTGAGCAGGTTAATGGAGAAAGCACAAGAAACTGATCTCATCAAAGGCTTGTGTATCGGCCAAGAAAAGGTGGAGATATCTCATCTTCAATTTGCCGATGACACCATTTTCTTCTTGACGGAAGACGAGGAAGTCTGGAACAACCTAATCCAAGTGCTTAATTTATTCTGTTCGGTCTCAGGATTGAAAATCAACAAAGCTAAGTGCTTTTTGGCTGGGATAAATTCAGAAAGTGAGAAACTAAACAGGTTGGCAGTTTCTTGGGGGTGCGAGGTAGGCTGCTGGCCGATAAAGTATTTGGGGCTTCCCCTTGGAGGTAGGCCAAGAGCAATAAAGTTTTGGGATCCGGTGGTCGAAACAATGGAAAGAAGACTTCAAAGTTGGAAGAAGGCTTTCCTATCCAGAGGAGGTAAATTAACTCTAATTCAATCAGTCCTGGGAAGCATGCCGATTTACTATATGTCCTTGTTCAAAATTCCATGCGGGGTAAGAGGACGTCTAGAAAAATTAATGAAGAGGTTTCTATGGGAAGGCATGGAGGAGGGTAAGAAAACACATTTGGCCAAGTGGGAGTTAGTTACTAAAAACAAGGAGGAAGGAGGTCTAGGGGTGGGGAACTTGAGGAATCAAAACGAAGCATTATTGGCTAAGTGGTTGTGGAGACTCCCAAGGGAATCACAGTCTCTGTGGCACAAGGTGATAAGAAGTAAGTATGGGCTACAAGCTAATGGATGGGATGCACTTCCTCAAATGAGGGTTTCAAGTCGAAGTCCATGGAAAGACATTTCGAGTGGCTCTCATCAGTTTCTCAGTTGCTGCACGTTTGAGGTGGGCAACGGAGAGAGGGTGAGGTTTTGGGAGGATGGGTGGTTAACACAGGGGACCGCTGAAGGAGCAATTCCCTAGATTATTCCTACTATCGAGGAAGCATAATCAAAACATCTCGAGCTTCGTGGAAGTTTCATCAAGTCCTTTGAGTTGGAACTTTGATTTTAGGAGAAACTTGAATGAGATGGAGATAGTAGAGGTGGCCACATTATTACAGAAACTGGAAGAGGTTCGATTGTCTCCATTAAAGATGGATATCAGAAGGTGGAATCTGGAGGCTTCAGGTTTGTTCTCATGCAAATCTTATCGTTCATTACTGAGCAACAATGGGAGTGTGCACTATTTTCCACCTTACCCTCAGATTTGGAAATCAAAAGTTCCTCCGAAGGTTAAAATACTTGTATGGCTTGTGGCCAACGGGAATCTAAAACACATGCGACAGAATTCAAAGGAGAAACCCTCTTATGTGCTTATCACCGCATTGGTGTAGCTTGTGCAAAGCCAAGGAGGAGAGTGTAAATCACATCTTTCTTCATTGTTCCTACTCGATCCAACTATGGTGGAAATTGTTACAGGAGGTTAAAGCAAGTTGGGTCATTCCTAAAGGGTGTTTCGAGCTACTAAGCACAAACTTTCAGGCACTTGGAAATAGGAAAAAAATCCAAAGTTTTGTGGGGTTGTCTGGTATCGGCAATTTTCTGGCATATATGGCTGGAACGCAACAAGAGGATTTTTGAAGATTATACTGGAGTGGGGGCAGAAGAACTTTGGGGGAGAGTAAAATATTGGGCAGCTCTTTGGGCCTCGGTCACTAAAGAGTTTGATAATGTTTCTCTATCTCAAATTCTATGGGATTTATTAGCAGCAGTTAAGTGAGCTAGGTCTAGAAATGGCTGCTGTAGCCAAATCCTAATGGTTGTTTCCTTGTTATACAGTTAGTGGACTTCTTATCCACTTCTGTGCTGTTCTCTATTCTTTAATAAAATTGTTTCTTCTCAAAAAAAAAAAAAATGTTGTTATGAAAATTAAATTTGATTAATTATCACATAAAATCACTCATTTAGACCAAGGGCAGTTTAGTAATCAAATGGTTTCGATTCCGATTCAGAAGTGAATTGGTAAACAATTTATATGGAACTGACATCATTCCTACTCCGTTTCCCGATAGTTTAATAAACACCTTTCATAGGAATCTGTTTTTGATTCCACATCAATCCAATTCCTCCTCATATCAATTCCACCCGTTTTGATTATGGATTAGTAAATGAGCCATAAGTATTTTGGTTGGCATCTTACCCTTTGAAGCTTGTTACCTTGTGTTGCATTTTAACTTTTTCCTACATACAAAGTTGTGTCTGCTACTTAACTCGTCATGAATCCAGTCCCTCTATATAAACAGGATGATCCACACCAGAGAGGGTTTAAGATCTTCCTGTTAAGTTTTAGTAAACTGATATATACAGGAATTGGATTTTTAGAGGAAGCTGAAAAGACAGAGAGAGTGAGAGGTCAAGTTTCTTCAACTGCAACTCTGTTACATTGCAGAGCAAACTTTCATTTATCTACATTCCTTTCTTTTACATCAGATATCATATCCGTTCAATTACATGAGCCAATATGATTTTGACACATGGCAGAACAAAGCATATGAGCCATTGAAAAGAGACCTGATCTAAAATCACACACTTGGCATATGAGCACAAGTTATCACAACATAAAACAGCTACACAATAGAACAAAGATAAAATAGATAAGTAAATCATTTACTAACATGAAATTAGTAAGCAATTTACTTTTCAACACTCCCTTCTAAATTGTTAACTGATTTCACACCCAGTAAACTTCTCTAGTTGTTGAATCTGTCTTTGGGAAGAGCCTTGGTAAAGATGTCTGCAATTTGTTCTTCACTCTTGCAGTAAATCAGATCAATGGTACCTTCTTGAATTGCATCCCGAATAAAGTGAAACTTCCTGCCAATATGCTTGGTTCTTTGATGAAACACAGGATTCTTAGACATAGCTATAGCTGAAGTGTTGTCACAGAATAGCGTTGTTGCTGCAGCTTGCTCTTCTCCAAAGTCCTTGAGCACAAACCTAAGCCAAATGGCCTGAGATGTTGCTTTCAGCTGCACTAACATACTCTGCTTCTGCAGTTGAAAGAGCTACACTATGCTGCTTGACTGAAGCCCATGAGAATGCCCCACTTCCAAATGAAAAAGCATACCCTGAGGTGCTTTTCATATCCTCCTCAGATCCACTCCAGTCACTATCGCAATATCCAATCAGCAAAGCAGATTTTCCATTCAAATATTCAATTCCAAAGTCAATTGTTCCTTGAATGTACCTTAGGACTCGTTTAGCACCTCCATAATGTTTCTTGGTAGGCTCGTGCATAAATCGTGCAAGTACACTAGCAGAGAACATAATATCTGGTCTAGTTGCTGTTAAATACAGAAGACTTCCAACTATTTTCCTATACTCACACTCATCTGCAGGTTCACTTCCATCTTCTCTTCTCAGTTTATCAGTTGCAACCAATGGAGTGCTCACTGGTTTGCAATCTTTGAGTCCAAATTTATCCAAAAGAGTTAGAGCATATTTTTTCTGATGTATAAATATACTCCCTTCAGTTTGAGTTACCCCCATTCCAAGAAAGTGAAGTAAACCCAAATCTGACATCTCATATTTGCACATCATTTCAGCTTTGAATTCTTCCATCATTTCTGCATTGCTCCCTGTGTACACAATGTCATCAACATAGATTGACACGATCAAGGTACCAACACCTTCCTTGCTTCTTACATATAAAGTTGCTTCACTTGAGCTTTTGTGAAATCCACAGTGAATTAAATATGTGTCTATTTCGTTGTACCAGGCCCTTGGTGCTTGTTTTAGACCATAGAGAGCCTTTCTCAGCCTATAAACCTTGTCTTCAGCCCCTTTAATCACAAAACCATCAGGTTGATCAACATATACCTCCTCCTCAAGAACACCATTCAGAAAGGCTGATTTAACATCTAATTGCCACAGTTTCCAACCTTTCTGTGCAGCTAGTGCAATGAGTGTTCTAATAGTATCTAACCTTGCCACTGGAGCAAAGGTTTCATTAAAATCAATCCCTGGTTTCTGTGTGTAACCTTTGGCTACAAGCCTTGCCTTGTGTGTTTGAATGGAGCCATCAAGATTCAGCTTTGTTTTGTATACCCATTTCACACCCACAACAGGTTTACTACTAGGTCTGTCAACTAATTCCCACGTGGAATTCTTTTCAATCATCAATATTTCTTCTGTCATAGCCTTTTTCCAAGCATCATCTTTGACTGCCTCACTGAAATCTTCAGGTTCAATGATGCTCATGTTGCATTGAGCATATACTTCACTCAAACTCTTCCATTTCTGTGGAGTATGGTCATAACTTTAAGAGATTGGAACTGGAGAACCAAGTGAACCAGGTTCTTGAGATGCTTGCAGATCTCCAGTTGATTGTGATCTCAGAGGAGGCTGCATTGACTGGGGTGAATCACTTGAATCTGGATCAAATTCAGATATCCCTGAGTTTCTTTCATCATTCCAAGAACTAGGAACTTGAACCGATTCATTAGTTTTCCAGTCCCATATCACTTTCTCATCAAAGATTACACTTCTTGATAGTTCAACCTTTTGAGTTCTCAAGTTGAAGATTCTATATCCTTTTTCACAATTTCCATATCCAACGAATACTCCCTTCTCACCAGTTTCCTCCAGTTTGTGTCTTTTCTGTGAAGGAATGTGAATATAACACATGGAACCAAATATCTTCAAATGTTTGACACCTGGCTTCCTCCCACTAAATGCCTCAAATGGAGTTATGTTGTTAAGAGCACTTGTTGGACATCGGTTTTGCAGATACACAGCTGTGTTGACAGCTTCAGCCCAAAACTTCAAGGGAATCTTCTTTTCAATCATCATAGTTCTTGCCATTTCAATTATTGTCCTATTCTTTCTCTCTGCAACACCATTTTGTTGTGGAGAGTAGGCAACATTCAATTGCCTTTCTAATCCCATATCTTCACAGAACCTTGAAAACTCTAGAGATGTATATTCTCCACCCCTATCACTTCTGAGTTTCTTGATTTGATAGCCACTCTGTAGCTCAACCATGGATTTAAACCTTTTGAAAATGTTGAAGACTTGAGACTTGTGTTGCAAGAAAAATACCCAACACATCCTAGTGTGGTCATCAATAAATGTGAGAAAGAATTTGTTGCCTCCTAGAGTAGTTATCTGCATTGGGCCGCATATATCAGAATGAATAAGTTCTAGAGGTTGTGATGCCCTCCAAACTTTTCCCTTGTCAAATGATTCCCTGTGACCCTTTCCTGTAGCACATCCAGAGCAAACATGCTCAGAAACTTGTAGTCTAGGTAAGCCCTGCACCATTTCCTTCTCTTGCAGAAGCATCAAACTAATGTAGTTTAGATGTCCATATCTTCTATGCCACAACTGAGATGACTCTTCAACAGTTGCTCTATTAGCCATGTGAGGATTAACATATTCCAAACTTAATGGAAAGCATCTGTTTCCTTTCATTGGAACACTTGCAATCAGATCTTCCATCTGTCTATCTCCATAAATATCAACCATGTAATCACCAAACACAAGCCAATATCCATGTTCTACCATCTGCCCTACACTTAATAAGTTTTCATCCAATCCAGGTACAATCATAACTTCTTTAATATACCTAGTCACACCTTTCATCTCAATCACCAATGTGCCTTTGCCTATTGACTGCACTAAATCTCCAGTGCCCATTTTAACTTTACACTTCACATTCTTATCAACATCAATAAGCAAGGTTTCATGAGAGGTCATATGATTGCTACATGCACTATCTACATACCATATATTCATACTTCTTCCAATAGTAGCAGAATGGCAGGCATAAAACATGGTTGCAGATTCTGTTACCTGGTTTGCATAGTTTACAAGTTTTCCAGACTTGTTTGGTTGATCACAATCCTTGATGAAATGACCGAAATGATTGCATCCATGACATTTCGGCTTCCCTTTAAACCAGCACTCACCATAGTGCAGTTTATCACAAAGCTTGCATTTTCTCTTAGACTGATCAGATTTTCCTCCTTGATCATATTTGCCACCTCGATTAGCAAGATTCAGAGGTTTAGGATCCCATTTCTTTCCTTTTGATTTCCAATCCCTCTTTGGTTTAGAATTACCAAAAGAGAGATTTGGTTGACTTCCTTTCGAATTCGGATTCAGAGTACTGAAAGCTCTTTCAATGGTACTCTCAGCATGTCTATCAAGGCGTTGTGCAAACCCTCTTAATGCTGCAATCACCTCTTGTACCTCAATAGTTTCAATATCCTTGGTTTGTTCAATTACATAACAAACAGGATCAAACTCCTTAGTTAAGCTTATGAGCTGTTTCTGAACTAATCGTTCTCTGGGTAAATCTTCCCCATAACCCTTCATCTGATTTACCAACTCGAGAAGACGAGTGAGATACATAGACAGAGTTTCATCATCCCTCATCCTTGTGTACTCGAAATCACGACGTAGACCCTGCAACTTGATGGATCTCACTTGCTTATCACCATGAAATTCCTGATGTAGGATATCCCAAGCACCCTTTGAGGTTTCTTCGTTTGAGATTCTGGGAAAGATGTCATCCGAGACAGCTCCTTGGATTATACCCAGTGCCTTAGCATCCTTCATTAGCTTGTCGCTCAGAGAAACTCTCTCCGACTCCGATGAGCCTTCATCTCCAATCTTCTTATCCTTCGATTTTGAAATTTCAAACCCCTTTTCAACTAAATCCCAGATTCCATGTGATTTGAAAATAGTTCTCATTCGAATCTTCCAGAATTCATAGTTGTCACCATTGAATATTGGAGCCCGAAGATCACTACCACCAGATCCAGCCATTTGAGACTTGAATCGACAAAAACTGAGTCGGAAATTTCACGTTGGATTTCCGAGCACAGCACTCACAGATCTTACGCCCCGATTCCAGATAGAACCTGAGCTCTAGATACCATGTTAAGTTTTAGTAAACTGATATATATAGGAATTGGATTTTTAGAGGAAGCTGAAAAGACAGAGAGAGTGAGAGGCCAAGTTTCTTCAACTGCAACTCTGTTACATTGCAGAGAGCAAACTTTCATTTATCTACATTCCTTTCTTTTACATCAGATATCATATCCGTTCAATTACATGAGCCAATGTGATTTTGACACATGGCAGAACAAAGCATATGAGCCATTGAAAAGAGACCTGATCTAAAATCACACACTTGGCATATGAGCACAAGTTATCACAACATAAAACAGCTACACAATAGAACAAAGATAAAATAGATAAGTAAATCATTTACTAACATGAAATTAGTAAGCAATTTACTTTTCTAACACTTCCAGGATCATAAATCTTTCAAATGGGATGGCAACTGGTAAGGATGCCATTAGCAGGGCCGGCCCTCAGAATTGCAGTACCTTAGGCTAGGCCCTTTTGGCCCCTCCACACATATTCACATAAATTGAAATTTTACAAAAAAATATTTACGAGTACAACTCTGTCCGAAACATAATGGTATCATTTCAAATTTTGTATGTTGGTTCGGGTTTTTCTTAGTAAACGTAATTTTCTTGCCTTAAGTAGACGCCGATGTTCTCCTAGGTTGATGCAGAAACTATTTTCATTAGTCTAAGTTGCTCATGAACTTGTTGTACAGGACCCAGGAACAAAACCAGCAGAGAGGGTATGGTCTTCGATTAATGTTGGTACAGAAATATACGTCAGTAACTCGGGAGAGACTGCGGAATGGACTGTAAGTGATTTTGATGTACTAGTTCCTGAAGGTGTTGGTGGTGGTTATAGCTCTTATTGAAATCTCCCCTTATGATCACGGTTCTTTTTCTTTTTCGTTTCTGTTTCGTTGAAATAAGCAACCCTCTAGTTATTAATGTAAATAGAGTTCAAAATGTCTGCATGTATACATATGCAAATGCCATGTACATATACTAAATGCCATTGATACATTTGAGGACACAATTTGGTGGGCTTCGGATTTATATATATATAGGGACAGATCCATGGCACCACGATTTACTTCCCTCCTATATTTCCTCCTTGCCTCGTCAAATACAACACCAGAAAACAGAAACGCAAGTCATCAGCATTTCCGTCATACATTTCACCACAAGAAAATTTGTGATAGGCCGTTACCTTACTGCAGGTTGTTGCCTAAAGTGAAAAATTCATTGCCATAGGGTATTCACAAAGACTCGCAGCCTTTGCCTAAAAGCATTCACAATTTGTGGAATTTCATTCGTCTCTAATCGTCTTGGAGGTGTGAAATCAGCAACGTCACCGCCATTAGACAGTAGCTGGGGGTCAGTGACTTGTCAGTGCAAGAGATCGGAGCTTGCCCATTTGGCTAGAAACCTGTAAGCAGAGAGGTGGGAAAGAATCACAACCTGAACACAATACATTACGTGAGATCATTGAAGGTGAATGGCAAGGAGAAACGCACCGCTATTTGAAACCCTCCCGGCATGCCAAAATCTAACAGAAGAAAACACCGCCCTTAGCGTGAACAGCATCAACAACATGTTTCCATTGGTAAAGGAATATTCGAGTCCCTAATAGAATATTGTTTGTAATAAAAAGTTATTATAGTATGATCCCTAAATGTAGGGACTAATATTAAATATTATTGTTCATTTTGTTGGAGTATTGTGACGATATTCAAGAATTAGAAAAAAAAAAAAAAAAAGCTACAAGAGAAAATTAAATGAGAAGCTGCCCCAAGTAGGTGGGTTCCAAAAATCATAACAGCAGCACCATTCTCACTCAAAATTAATATGAGGTCAGCTTTTGAGTCTCTATATGTAGTCCTTATATTTGAGAATTTCTTTAGGGTAACTAACGAGTCCCTATATATCGAGATACTTTGAGGACTTCAATTCCAGCCATTGGAAGCCTTGTGTCCCTATATTTAGGGACTATACGATTGTAGGGTCTCGATTGAAACATTCTTAATTAGGGCTAGGTTCGATTCAAAACGATCTGGTTTTTTACCAAAACCAAAACCGAACAGAAATTTCGGTTCTGTTTTTTTCTGGTTCGGTTTCGGCCCAATTCGGTTTTTTTTTTTCCCTTCTTCTCCAATAGCCAAAAAAATTCCTTGGAAAACAAAATTGAGTGCCCAGATCACTTGTAAAATCAACAGAACCAGAATCATAGATGTGTCCAGTAATACACTTTCTAACCAATCGATCAAGAATCTGCAGTTGCATTTAAAGTTATTACAGAGTACAAACATTGAAATAAAATCAGAAAAGACCAGCTAAGACTTCAGCAATTCCAGAAATCACCTTTCATTCTTTTATCCATTCCAAAAATATTCTAGTAATGGAAATATTCAACATTAGCTTTCACAATCGAATCACATCAAATTGTTGCCAAATAAGGATTTAAAATATCCAAATTTGCATGAAAAGGGCAATGTCGGCCCACTGGCCACGCGTTGCCGCGGGTGGCGATTTCCGACGAACCCACCAGAACCCTATAATTTGGGTGGCTTCGATTCGACTTCTTCGGTGCTTCACCGCCCCTACAACTGGTTGGGCTTTGTTCCAAGGCTCAAGAGAAGTCTAATGGTGGTGGTAATTGGAAGATAACGTTTCAAAAATGGTGGAATTCCGCAAATAACCCTCGCACCCACTGGTGCAATTTTCTCCCAAATTCAAGGCCAATTTTCCTAAATTTTTCGGTGGAATTGGTAGAGGGAGGGCCGTGGGGTATTTCTCAGGTGTTGTCTTAGCGTAATTCACCGGAATTACGCTGGAAAACCAGCGGTTTCCATGGTTTTCGCCAATCGGGCCGCACCGGTCAAAGGAGACCCGATTTTTCCCCTCTTATTTATTTTTTTTCTTCTCTCCTTTCCCCTCCTTTCCCTCTTTATGATTGGTCCCTCTCACATTTTCCTTCTCCCCGATTGGGCATCCCATTCTCTTTCTTCCTCCTTTCCTTTTTTTTGTCTTTTATGTTTCCTCCCTTCTCCAATTGGTTTTCCCCTCTCTTCCTTTCTACACCAAGGCAAAGCTCCAGCAAATCTGGAGCATTCCAGATTCACGGCAAAAGGATCATTTTGCCCCTATCTTCGTTTGTTTCTATTTCACTTGTTATAACTCCGTTTGGCGAACAGTTTTCGCCTACACGCTTGTGGAACTGAGCTCTATCCAAATATGGCAAGAAATAGTTTAAAATATATGAGGATAAATACGTCCTCGTATAATTACGTTAAGTCAGCTAGGGGTATTTCTGTCTTTTCCACTTAATGATAAATTTCACAACATAATTTATAATAATTTCCAGAAACAAAACTTGAAAAGTTCAATTCAATTTTTCATACCCATAAATCGATTTATTTTTCGATTTTTCTCTGCATATTAATATATTTAAATTTTCTAGGTATTACACTTTAAACCCATCCATGAATCATAAACCAAATATCCAAATACAAGCAAATCAATGAATGATTCAACACAAAAAGAATTCTAAAAACACATCTCATGCATGTTATGTTATGTTTGGGTGGTGAGAAAATGCGAGAGAAGTGAGAGTGTGAGACTAACTTTTTGTTGTCAAGACTCGAAACGGCAAGAAGAAGCTGACGGCGAGATGAGAGATTGACGATGAGGTGTGAGAGATTGAGAGTGAGAAGGGTCGTGCCGTCGCGGGTTGCCTGAGATTCAAGACCGAGAGAGACTGAGAGTGATTGAAGTTGAAGACTGAGAGAGAGAAAGAGAAGAGGCGCTGCACGAAGGCCTTAGGGCTACTAGGGTAGGGTTACACTTGGGGTAACACGACACTGTTTCTAGAATAGGATTATTAATTAATAAAATAATTAACTTCGGCTCAGTTCGGTTCTGTTTTCGAACCCTAAAAATTGAAACCGAACCAACCAGATTCGATTCGATTTTTTCGACCTTAATTCGGTTTTCGGTCCCTTTTTTTTTTGGTTTTCGGTTTTTCCAACCCACCCCTACTCTTAATCCTTGCAGTGAGTAGGGATTTTCCCTGCTGGGCTTAAGCTTATGGCTCGTGTGTGCTTTTGGATTTGGTGCAAGCATAGCGCGCGGAGCGAGCATGGCAGGTTGCTCTTAAGTGTTGGAGATTAAGGTTTTCTTTAGTTACTCTGTTTCTTCTGTTGAGCTTAAGCTTGTTTAGGCCTCCCTAGTTGTTTTAGGTTGTTTTTTTACCATTTGCTTTGGCCTTTTATAAATTGTACTGGTTCCTCTTTTTAATGAATTTTCATTTTCGACCAAAAAAAATCTGCATTTTCCAATAAGAGGTTTTGGTCAATTTGGAAGATAAGTATGCGATGGAGATAATTATTAGATAATTTTTTTGTGTTTATGGGCTTTGTAATTTATATCTACTAAAGCTCAGCAGATTAACACTGTTCAACATGTGTTACGAGAGTTAATGGTTTCTCAAAGTATTAGAGAGGTTTGAGTAAAGCGAGATTTGCGCAGAGCATTTCTGTGTTGAGTTGAAGATATTTTCACGTTGCAAACTCAATTTTATTTATAAAGCTGAGTTTCGTGATGATAAGTATGCCAAAGTAGAGACCCACTATACCTACACTTTCTCAGCGTCTCTTTGGATATTCTCGACATTATCTTATCACTAGCCAAAACTAATTCGCGCGGTGTTTCAGCCACTTCTACTAGAACTAGGACTTTGAACCTAGTCATTTTATGCTTTAAATGTATTCCTTATCTTATCAACGAGTTTTGATTCTTAGAATAATTCGAACCTTATCAAAATCCATTATATTGTTGGAACCAAATTCGAGCACCACTACCACTTATGGTGGAGATAGACAAATCTGACAGTCAAGTTAGAAAGTAAGTATAAGATTCAAACAGTAGGCAAGAGAATTAAAGGTAGAGATATGTTACCAAAGATGAACCTTAAACAGGTGCATTATACCAGTCGAGAGAAACCTTTTTAGGATAAAATCCTTGTTCTAAGCCGGGAGAATCTTTGAGGATATATAGAAGTAGATTGTAAGAACTCCAAGACATAAAGTTCTGGCAAATTCTATACCCGAATCATATCCCGTCACTTGCGGAACAAGCATGGTCATTCTAGCGAATTCTCTCAAACTTTGCCCATTGCCTCGGAACAAGGTGATGGTGGCACCGTTGCTTGGTCTGATTCAGCTATTGACTCCATGACCGAAATTTTAAGGTAACTGTATTCCAATTGGCCTTACTTCGGCCTTAAAAAATCATGATCTCACAATTGCCCCTAACTATGTTTCTGAAAAGCACTTGTTTCCTTTAAGGATGTATAGTTACCCAATTCTCATGCTTTTTAAAGTAAGTTGGAATACATACCATTTGGTTTTCTACCTCAGTATGGTGATCTGGTTCCTCATAAAGTAGTGAGACGTTTCAGATTTAGATGTGCATTCTTGAGTGTCGTGCCATATGGGTCGTAATGCTGAAAAGTTTCGCATAGGTACATTTTGCAAGAAGCGTCCATTTGTATCTTCGGGTGACTTCGATCTTCGTATGCACCAATCTGAAGGCAACAACGCTTAATATTCAATGATGAGGTCCCTGGATATCTCGTCTTTAAAAAGCCCTCTCATGGAGGAGATTTTTCATATTACCTTCATTTCTATCATTTCGTTTACGCCATAAAGCATCCTCCTTTACTTGTTGACCTTCTTTCTGCACCCAGTTTTCTCTTTGAGCCTTCGATGTTCAGTATAATTGTCGAGGTACACAATGGTGTTCTGCCAAACACGTTCCATATACCCTTCAAGTCCAAGATCTGGAAATGTAAAAATCAAAGTGAATATCAGATGTGAGCAGAGTTTGTGAATTGGGTAGTTCACAATCCATACAGTTAACAAAGACACAATAGTAGAGTTAATACCCTTAAACTCATCCTCCCAAACACCATAGTTATATGTGAAAGGGAGATCAGGGCCAATAAGCCCAACTTGGCTGACTCTGCAGCCAGATCAAGGCACAACTAGGATCAATTGGTTGTACTTTATGTAGGGATAAGAATTGAGTTTCCTCTTTGACAAATGTTACTTATTCATTCCGGCCATTATACGGTACAACACTGAACAGAGAGTACAACTTTTCCGGCCTCGTAGTCTGGAACCCTCCCAAACATTGGACACTACAACAATAGATAATGCAATAAAATACAACACAGTACCATCAGATATTACATAATCGGATGAATCAAAGGAGCCCTAGTGTTCAAGCTTCCATATGTTGTGGTGAACTTAAGTAGTGGCCTCAAGAAATGGATAATCAGTGTAACCAACGACGGGATCAGATGTGTAGAATGTCTCTCTGTTGTACTTGTTCAGAGGAGCAGTAAGCTCAAATCTCTTTGGCAAATCCGGATTCGCCAGGAAAATACGGCCATAAGCAATAAGATCTGCACGGCCCTCAGCCAGAGCATTGTTCCCATCTTCCTTGTCGTAACCACCAGCAGCAATGAAGGTACCATTAAAAGCCTTTCTCACTGGTGCAAGACCCTGGGGATAGTCACTCTTTTCTGCACCTATCTTCATCCTCGGCTCAACCATGTGGCAGTACAGGATCCCATATTTGTTCAATGAATTGGCCATACAGAGGCCCAATTCTTTTGGATTTGAATCCCCTGAGTCCATAAAGTCGGCAAATGGAGATAATCTAATTCCAACTTTATCTGCTCCTATTTCGTTAGCGACAGCTTCAACAATTTCCAGAGCAAATCGACAACGATTCTCCACAGATCCGCCATATTGGTCTGTTCGGTCATTCACTTGATCTTTCAGAAACTGATCAATAAGGTAGCCATGGGCCCCATGAATTTCCACTCCATCAAAGCCTGTATGTCAGACAAACAATTACAGTTTACCAAATATTATTTGTAATCTAGCATGAACTATTGTCACACATCTAGTCAAACTGCAAATTAAATTATGCTCTTAATTACATTTGGAAGATTAGGAGATGGTTCGTTTGCTCATGTTGAAAGCATTTCTGAGTTCTTGCTAATTTTTTTTTGTACTAAAGTAAAAACAATTTACCGGCTTCCATAGCATTCCTTGCAGCAAGTCTGAAATCATTGACTATTTGTGGGACTTCATCTGTCCTCAATCGCCTAGGAGGAGAAAATTCAATAACATAAACGCCATTAGATGGTGTTTCTGAGGTTAGTGACTTGTCAGTAGAAGAGATTGGAGCTTGCCCATTTGGCTGAGATCCTGTAAGAAAATATAGATAGAATCACAATCTGAAAGATTACTATTACAGGAATATCAAGGCCGCATTCTGATGCTTCAATGGGCTAACTTTTCACTTATGATCCGAACGCTTTCAATGACCCAACGTGAAGTCATAAAAGTGCAGTGTTAGAAACGCACCGGTATTTGAAACCCTCCCAACATGCCAAATCTGACAGAAGAAGATGCCTCCTTTAGCATGAACAGCGTCAACAATGGGTTTCCATGCTTCAACTTGCTCCTTTGTCCATATACCGGGAGTATCTGGGTACCTTCGCATATTAAAGAAACAAAAATGTTATCAAACTTTGAAATGAAGAAAGTGCACGTTTAGTATGTTTTCCGTTTAAAATTTAACATAAAAGAAACTTGAGAAAAGCAAATATTTTTGAAGTTAAGTTACCCTTGAGCTGTGTCAGAAACTCCAGTAGCTTCAGTTATGAGAAGACCCCCGTTAGATGTTCTCTGAGAGTAATATAACACGGCATGTGGCTGAGGAACATTTCCGTATGATCTTTGTCTAGTCAATGGTGCTAAGACAACTCTGCAGAAGGGCAAGGAAGAAGTATATAATCAGATGCACCTACTACATGGTCTATGACAAGTTTGATAGGAAGTATTATCTGATCTTGCTAAACAGAACAAGATTTACGTGTCACACCAAAAAATCCAGAAAGGAGATATACTTTTCCTAGCCAAGTGCATCTAATATCAAAGATGAATTAATTAATTTCAGGTCAGATCAAGTACTAACTCAGGTGTGATGAGTGCTTCAGAGTTCACACCCCATGATGTACCATTTTTGTCTTGGGAAACAATATCAAACCGAATGTCAGTCGGTTCTAGGCATCATCTACGCATATATTTGGTTTCACTATCTGGGGCTTACAGCGAATTTCAGTAACACCTGTCCTAGTTTATTTTCTTTAAGAATTGACTACTTTAGTTGCTGAGATATAGTTACAACATGTGTATTCTGCACGAGAGCGTCTAGGAAATTCAAACAATCTTGATCACAAGGCAAGTAATTCATAGCGGTAGACATCAATACAAAGTTTACAAAATGACCCAAAAGTTGCAGCACACTATCTATTGTAACTCAAACTCGCAAACAAAACCCAGATTATCCAACCAATCAAACCAAATCAATTCCTTGCTTTGCAAGCAAGGTGAACATGCAAATGGTACATAACAAACTATCCAATGAGAGTTGCTGCTTTTATTTCTGAAAATTCAGGATTCTTGCATAGGCAAATAAACATTTGACAAGCACAAAAACTGCCCGGTAACCCGCACTTTACCCAAAAAAATAAGTAGTAATTTCATTTTTCTTGATAGAAAACTGGGATTTTCTGCAACCCTGACAAAAACCCAACAGCCCAAATCACAACTCCTCAAACAGAATAAGTCAACAAAACCAATGCAGAATGTAGAAGAATACAATTGTAGAAAAGGTTGAGTGGGTGAGTGGGTGAGTTAAGTTAACCTATGAGAAAGATTGAAGTTTCCAAGTTTGTACGGATCAAGGAGAGGGCTTGTGGGACCACCTACTTGAGTTTGATTAGTGGTAGCCATTTTCAGAGCTCGATCCTGATTTTTGATTTGATTTGATTTGATCTGCTCTCACATTGGGGGATTTATACCGTCGGGGAGAGGAGGAAGATGAACAGTGAACCATAAAGCAACACTAGCACTAGCTGGGGAGGGAGAGGCAGTGGTGGGCCGGGCGGCTTCTTTTTCTAATTATTTTTTATTTTTTTATTATGAATTGAAATATTTGATGACGTTTGTTATTACGTAATCGTGTTTGTTTTTTTTTTTTCCAGTACATATTGTTGGAAGGAAGGACTATGTGACAAAGACGAGGAAGGGCCTCTGGTAATTTGCTGATCCTGTCTTTTACTCCTGCTTGATGCTTCGAAACCGTAACCGTAACCGTTTGTAACCTGATCATTTTTTACGCAAAACATTCATTTGCTTACAAGCAAAATTACTATTTTAATTCGAACAAAGGGGGTTTGAACTCGGGAAGCAGTGGGTTAAAGAGAAAGTCCTACCAAGCATGCATTAGTAAGTAGGCAGAGGCAGAACCCAAGTGGGTGATAAGCTATCTGACAAAAAAAAAAAAAAAAATGGGTTGGGGAGGGTGGGCAATGTTAACAGAGAGTTAATGGTAACGTTAATGTTAGGCTTGAATCCTAACATATTTCACCACAAGAGTATAAAACTGAATTTTTTTTATCATTGATGTTATCTTTTCATTACCCTATTACCACGATAATCATTAATTCACTTTAGCCATTTGTTTTAATTCAAGCTTTGTGATTATTTATTGGGTTTGGATTGTGGGATACGAAAAATCTTATTTGAGCAAATTTGGATTATTGCCCCGATATTATGGATTCCTGTCGAAGATCTATGGAGTTGAATTGAACTAGAGGTCTGATCGATGTGGCGACTTTTTCGAAGACAAAGTTGCACCGGTTCACAAATTGGAAGCGGGGGCCATCGGAGAAGTTTTTAGTTATTAAGGGTATTTTAGTACTTTTATATTAACTTTTGGTTACAATTATTACAAATTTTAAAAGATGGCTACAATTTTATAAATGGTTCTAATTTTAGTTATTTTTCAACTTTCCAATTGTTGTGGCCAATCTCCTTTATCTCTCTCTTTCTCTTACCTAATCATTTCAGATTTTTTTTTTCTTTTAAGCACGTGCTGTGGAGCCTAAAATAATCTCAAAAATTATAGAGACGACACGTGGATTTTTGAGCAAGAAAGACAAGATTGCTCTCATAAAATTGGTAGGCTCCTCAGATACTCTCATGCCTAGCTCACACCATGAAGGTCTCAGCAGTTGAATATGATTGCCCACAACTCACCTGCCCCTTGACAAGGAAAAGTCAAAGCATTAAAAATAATAATTAATTACCCAAATCCTATATTTAATACATTCTCAATTGAAGATTGACTTCATTCAAGTAAGTAATTCCAATTTAAATCAATTAGGGATAATTACTTCATTATCTCAAGATATTATTTCCTATTTAATATTTGAGAATATTTCTCTATAAACCTTGGCCAATAGGATGCTGCTATGTGTAGGGTAAAACTCTAACACCATGGCCGGCCACTCCCCTATATATACCCCATATTCTACCAAATTTCAGTAAAATGTTGCTACCCCTAAAAGCCCTAAACACTTTACTCTTCTCAGAGAAATTAACTTAGGCATCAGAGATCCATAGGCCTAACCGTCCCATCTCGTGGCCACGTGTGACTTAAGTTCTTGATCAAAGGTGTCGATTGTTTTGCAGGTACATTTTCGTCAAAGCTACAAATGGTGGAAATTTGCATCGACACATGTCACGATTTTGAATTCTAAATCAGCATAATATGGGTTTCACAATTGCCAAATCATCATTTAAAGGTTAATTTATTAGGAAAACTAATGAAAAGGGCTTGAAAACTTTAAGTTTTAATGATAAGGACAAAATAAAGGGTAAAGTGAATAGTACCAGGATTGACTTTTTAGTGTAAAAATGTGGTTTTTTGTTAAAGTGAACAGTACCGAGTGCTTTTCGTTAAAGTTCCCTAATTTATTAGCAACTAAAATAAAATGACAATAAATATATGATATTGTAATATTTTAAAGATGTTGCATGAGGTTTGTAATTGCACTCAAACCTAATAGATAAAATGTAATTTACTCATAAAAAGTTGACAATAATGATATAATAAAATGTCTATCAGATGGCTGCCGATGTGGACGACACCAACGGCCGGCTCCTGTATCAAATCATTTTTCTTTTCTTTTTATTGATATGGCCGACACCACAATTGTGTTTCTTTTTTTCTTTCTCTATTATAGGAGATACCGTATCTTATTTTAGATGAGACAATAACATATTTTAAGCGTCTATTATAAGTGATGGCTGCTAATGTGGGCACCACAACCACCGTTTGACTATAATTTGGACATTCTTTTATTAATCTTTTACTTTAATCCAAATAATTGCATCCATGCCTGTTAGTTCAATTATTTACCTTTTTTCTTCCTCTCATCATGCGCAATGGGATCATCGTTTATTGCCAAGGGCCAACATCACTTTTGGTGGTGTACATGATTTAGTGGGGTGGACGGTGAAGTAAATGGTGCAACAATGGTGGTGTTGTGGTGTGGTGGTGGTGTTAATGACAGTATTGACGGTGATGATGTTGGCATACATGATTTTTTTTAGAGCATTTTCATGTAAAACGTCCTCGTAAACTCAATTATGAAGAGTGTGCCAAAAATTTTGAGATGGAAAATTATTACTACATATTGAGGATTGAAAATGCTGACACAAGAAACCGAACGAACGAAAATGCCCTTCGAGCACTTGCCGCATTAAAACCTAGAGGTGCGGCCGCGAGGGTCTCGTTACTAAATTAACACCTTTGTCGGGCTCGCGTCTTGGGTCATTTAGCTTAGTAGAGCTATCGGACCAAGGCGGCTTAGCGAAGCTCAAATCCCTCATGAGAGACTTAGAGGGGTGTATTCAATTGGGATTTTGAGATATTTTAATTCTTTTAATGAATTCAGGGGTATTCAATCAAGATTTTAAGTGATTATCTGAAATTGAATGTGTATTCAATCAAGATTTTAAGATAATTTATTAAAATCATTAGAAATCCGGATGTATTCAATTAGAATTTAAAAAAAGTTTATAACATTCCAGGTGTATTTAATTAGAATTTGAAATTAAAGAATTTAGAAAAGTTGAGGAATTAGAGGGAATTTGAGAGATTTTGTAATGTATTTTAAGCATCCACAAATCTCATATCTCCCTATGAGATTTCGAGGGAATTGAATCAAAATTTTCCATGGAATCTCTACAAATCAGTTAAACTTCATAAAAATTCATGGATTTATAAATCCATTAAAATCTCCCAAATTCTCAATTGAACACACCCCCCTTAGTAAGGCCTGATACAAGAATTAGCCTAATGGGGCTAGATAAGGAATGATCCTTCAACATTAGCAAATGGGATCACAATCCCTACAATCGTGGGCTAGTCATAAGCCACAATATCTCACGTGGTTAAGGGTCTTCATAAACGGGACACTTAATTGACACTCTTTGTTTCATCTCTCAAAGTCAAACGGCTAATGACTTAATGAGCGGGATAACGAGTCTCAAATAAGTCAATCATGAGACACCACGCATGCTCTAATAAATCACCTGCAAGCTCATACTTACCACTAAATAAAGACATGGTCTTTGACCATGAATTGGCAAATGTTTCTCTACCAAGAAACTAGACCGTTCTTATTCATTTCATCTACTAAAGAAGGTGTATTCAATTTGGATTTTGATGAATTTTAACGGAATTATAAATTTCATGGAGTTTATGAATTTTAATTGATTGACAGGGTCATGTGAATTGTAAAGGAATTTTACATGAATTTTATTACAGAGTTTAATGGATTTTAATGAGTCTAATTTTGTTATGGAGTCTAATGGGTTTTAATACAGTTTTTGTACGATCACTTTTTGTGTAGGACTTTCATTTGAGACTCGCTTCACCTTGTTACTCTATTCCAATTACTTCAATTAACGAGGCAGATAATGCTTTACTGTAGTGAAGGAAATTAGTTATGCCTATGTATCTTGGTATAGTTTCGATCTCTACTGATTCCCCTCCTTCCTAAACCCAAAACAACTTGGACTCTCTTAATAGTTTGAATCTACCACCTACATTACCTTCTATCCTTTTTGCTGAAAAAACATGTTGCCACTCACGTGGAGTGATATTTTCGTCAATCCACTTCCTAGAGTTCACTGCAATCAATTTGCACGAAGGCAAGATGCATTTTTTTAGCAGCGTGGGAGTCATGCTATGAAGAGAAAGAGAGAAGTTGATTTCGGGTTTGATTCTGGCTAGGGTTGTTGAAGAATTAAAGTGAAAAATGATTGTTGGCATCTGTTGCGAAATTTAAACTAACCGGAATTAGTCCAACTTAGTTCCAAATTTCATGCTCGCAAGTGTATGAATTGTTCAATAGTATAGAAAGCAAGCACTTAATATCGTCTCATAAATTAATCTAATTCTAAACAACTAACTTAAATCCAATTACAACGTAATAAAATTTAACAAGGATTGATGAATAATGATGGTTTTGAGAGTTGATACTAATAGTGAAAACAAATATCAAAAGTAAGAAAGTTTGAATATAACGCAAAAAGTGGTAGCCAAGAAAACAAATTATAATTTAGTTGAGTAAAACACTAGAGCGTCCGACTCACCATAACCAATCTAACTTATTTTCTGTAGTGAATTATTAACAAGTACTCAACCTCATTGATAGTCAAATTTCCCTAACACATGTAATATCTATGGCATCTAGACTATTACGTACATTCCCCTATGCAACCATCCATGACATATGGAATAGTTTAACATAATGAAACTCATTACGATCAGTGGAAATTTATATAAAGACTACACAAATCCTAGAGTATGACATCTACTACTAGGTAATTTATGGTATCTATTTGCAAGAAGCTATCACTCAAGTTGAAAACATGACATCTGCACAACTTGCATCAAATTTACTAAGTAAGAGTCAAGATGGTAGCTAATCACCAAGACTAAGGCCATCTCCAACCGAAGGAGGGCCAAAGGGCC